AAATAGTTGACTATTCTGCTTCAGGAGAACAAAGGGACCCTTTGTTCTCCTGAAGCAGAATAGTCAACTATTTGAAAGCGCTCGAGTTTTGGGTCTTATTTTAAGTCTATTGAAATATTCGATAATATAATTGAACTTTTCTACATGTTAATTGAGTTCATACCTCATTATACCGTCTTCACTATTAATGAAGTGCTCGGTGTTGAGAAGAGTGCATCCAATATTTATGCCTTTTCCACTAATTAATTAAAAATTATATGATACTTTTGTATTTATCATTTGACAACATCTTCATAAATGCTCAATTTCTTTTTATCAATTCTGAGTGCATTGGATGGGTTGGAGACATGACACTGTTAGTGACCTGACTTAGCGTTCAACAGCATTCTGTCTAAAATAATCTGTGCTGTCATTTTTATGATTAGAAAAAAAACATTCTTTACCTTCTCTGCTGCTTCCAGATCTTTCATATGATTAATGTAGATGTCTCCTAGTAGGATTAATCCTTTCACATGGTCAGGATGATGCTAGAATAAGTACAGATTTCAATTTGAAAATGTATGTTACATAGCTTTAATCAAGATGGTATAGTTTCTCTTTTCCCATATAAAAATGCTAACAAACACATGTGAACACAAATTAATGACAAATAATGCAGGAAAAACATAGTATATGCAATATTGAAAACTAAGTATTTTGATGCATTTTTACATTAATGCTTGTTATCATATTAATACTAAGTTGTCATTTACAGAACATTTTGAGAAAGAATTATAATACAAAGCTACCTGTGCCATTATCATCATCACCATTAAACAACATCACATATACAATTAGCTCTAGCAAACCTAACCCAGTAATAAAGTTTGAATAAAGGTGGTAAATTAAAATGGCACATTTCTGAATAAACAATGTAATCTTACTTCTGATAAAACAGTTAGAACACAGGATCACACACAAAAGGTGTAATGAATTTTTTATTATCCTGAAGAACAATAGTCAACTATTTGAAAGTGCTCGAGCTTTGTAATATTACTTCATATTTATATATGACATATGAAATGCATGAAAGTAGTACTTGTGTATTTAATAACAGAATCTACTTAGATAATATTAGTCAACTAATAGTCAACTATTTGAAAGTGCTCGAGCTTTGTAATATTACTTCATATTTATATATGACATATGAAATGCATGAAAGTAGTACTTGTGTATTTAATAACAGAATCTACTTAGATAATATTACAACTAACATAAAATGCCCTTTAATTGTATGAGTAGACTTAGAACAGTTCATTTTATTTATAAGGTAGCCATATAAAACTTATTTGTCCCAAATGAAGTGGTGCTTTAGAAAATTCTTCAAAAGCAACTTGTTCAAATAAATATTAAATTGAAAAAAAAAAAAATCTCTTTAATTCTAGCATTTACGTAATTAAAGACGTAATATATTACTGAATGATAACTAATAATTTTAATTACCTTCAATAATTGTTTGAGGAAAGGCACAGCTTCAAGTGGACGTTGAGAATCCGAAAGCAGAAGAGCAAGATTGAAAAGTGCACTGCGAAAATCTTCTCTTATCTTAAAAGATACACACACATATATGAATATGTATATATTTAAAACCTTTATTTATTCATACCTTTATTTGTTAGATTACTTTGTTAATTAATTAATAATTTTATTAATACAAATTAAAACCATTTCTAATCATGGTTTCCTCTTGCATGACCTTTTTCTTGGTTGTTAGGATCCACATAATGTTTGATGACTTTAGCTTACATACCAGTTTAATCAATAAAAGAACAGATATTGTTTAGCAATATCTAGAGAGTTAGCTTCAGTGCTGAAAGCTTAAAAAGTTTTTTCACTACTAAAAACTGACACATGCATAGCAGTTCAAACACCATAGATGAGAGTGTTCAATAACTAATACTTTATATCCCATCTACAAACACATTCCCACTAATAATTACATTTTTATTAAAATAAGAAAAAAAAACAGATCAAGAGCAATGGACAGAAATAAAATACGAATTTCAAAGAAAGACATGCTGTAAATTTTAGTTTATAAAAATCCTAGCAATTTGTTTTATAGAAATAAAATACAAAAATTATCTTTTTGAACTATGAATATCCTAAGAAAGAGTTGAAAAACATTTATCTTAATTATAATTAATTCCTACCTGAATGGCTTTTTTAAACCATATTTCAGCTTTGGCAGTATGTTTCTCATCCATAGCCAACATCCCAAGGTTGAAGTAGACTCTTTCATTAGTCTTTCCTTTCTCTAAGAGATGCTGTAATCTGAAAGTTGTTACAATTAATGTATTAACAGAAGTTGTAGAGTTGTAGCCAAGAAACTGTTTTGACTTAAAAGTTTTTGAAGCAAAATACAGAACAGGAATCTCAGAAATCATACACAAATACAAATTACTTTTTCTATTTGACACTGATAATAAAGTGTGTTTAACTGAGCATTAATCCTAAATAAAGCTGTAAGCTAATATGCAGAAATGCTTTATTTCTGAAAAAAAAAGTTATCCACGTACCTGACAATGTGGACCTCAGTACAATTAAGTTTACTAACCTTTCATAAGCAATATGTCGTAGTCTAGTGTTCCCACTTTCTTGAATCAACACAGCTGAGTTCATGAGGGCTTGCTGTTGATAAACAAAATGTTTGTAGCAGTTAGATCTATAGTGGTGTGGCTCTCGAAATGTAAATCTAAAACTTAAGGACATTTCACAATAATGTCTTTATAAATGCCCACATTCTTTGGTGGTGCATTTATTATTACCTTATGGCTTGAATAATAATTTAAACAGCTATATCTGGTTTCTTAACTACCATAAATATGTAGACTGTTATCATTCTGAAAATCTTTGAAAACTACTACTGCAAAGGCCATGTTTGATTATCGACTCTACAGCTCAATTGTCAATACTAACTCTTATTAAACTTCTATGTGGCTACTGATTATATGTAAAAGTTAGTAGTTTTACCTCATGGTTTGGGTCAATCGCCAGAGCTTTGTTAAAATAGACCATAGCTTGAGTAGCTTTTCTCTGTTCGAGATACACCACTCCCAGCTGTAGAAAAGAATTACACATATGAGATGAGCCTTAATGAATCAGATTATTTATAAGATGTTATGGTGTTTATTACACTCCTTTTTTCAGGCATACTTAAAAATATTATAGCTTTCGTTTCATATATACATAGAATATCTAAGAATTTTAAAACATAACAATAGCTTTTACTCATTAGATATTAACCCTATTACCATGGGTATCCTTTGCTGCGCATGGACACAAAACTTTAGTGTCTTATATTCAAAATTTTATTAAACTACTTTCTGTTTATGTTACACCAATTAGTATAATAACTAATAATCCATATTTTAATAGTATATAAGTTTTAAGTTCTTAATTCTATAAGGCAATATTTTAAAAAATCCATAACTTCCCCTAGTGTGACACATTTTCTCTAAGTATCTTCTCCTCTATATTTTATCCACCACCCCTCCAAAATGTACGAAATTAAATGTAAATTATTCACTATAAAATCATCATTGCACAGACAAACCATAATTTTTATAGCCTTCAATTTTCTTTGGTTACAGAGCCATCATATAGAAAATCAGACCCTTCCTGCCACACCTACCTATCATATCGTCTCTTTCAGGATTTGTTAATAGTTCTCTTTTACGTTTAATATTACCTATAACCAAGAGAAAGTCAAGGTTTTCATCTATCAAATGACGTATTGTATTACATTGTGTTCTGAACAGATAATCGTCAATTTCACTCAGAGTACAAGATCTGTTCCCATGGGAAAATTAATTATTAGCTTTGATGAATTTGTAATGGCTCTT